CCCACGTGTTCCCAGCAGTAAGTCACACCAGCTTCTCAGCTGCTGTAAATCATGTCAGTGGGGTTGGTAAGTGCAAGTCCAGACAGCATTGCCACCCTTGGTTCCTACCCCGAAGAGCCACCACCTGCTGTTCCTGGAGATGGTTGTGTCACTGGGTAAGGGACAGGCAGGCTCTCCCAGTGGGTTCATCTGACTAACATTACAATCCATCACCTTGTCACCTATGTCTGAGCTCATTGAGCTTAAAACACACCAGGGGGGAACCACATCCTAAACCCACCATCTCTCTCCCCACCCTCCCTCACAGCAGCCAGGGCACAGGGCCCCACGCAGGTGTCCACCTGCAGATGCTGACTTTGGGGGAGATGAATGCTGTGCTGGCAGAGCACCCAAAACCTCCTGCTCTATGTTCCTCTCAGCCTCCCAGAAGAATTTAGGTTGGGAAGGAGCATGGGAGGTCACTGAGTCCAAATCCCTGCTCAAAGCAGAGCACGTGTGGGGCTGCCTTGGTTTTGGTGCTGGACGCCTGGTTTAATCACCCGCGCTGTGATTTTTTTTTTTCCCTTTCCATCTGCTCTGAGTTTTCCCTGCTGCAGCCTGGGACTGCTGCTTCCCATCCCACACTGGGCACGTCCCTGTCAGGAGGGGGGTTACATTTCCCTGTGTGAAAACTGGATTCACCTTTTCCCCGAACGCTGCCCGTACGCACAGCGTGGAAGGGACACGTCCACCGTATCCCCTCCCGCAGCTCACCCGGAGTGAATCCCACCCCTCCGCAGGGTCACGCAGGGATTTGGAGCTGGATAAGGGGCTGGAAGGGAGGAAGTGGAGGAGCATGAACCCTCGAGGATCTGGGAGAGGCTTTGGGAAGAGCAGGTTGAACCCGGAGAGCGGGAGCACTGCAAACTGTGCGAGGGGCTGCGCAGAAACCACCCAGCTCCTTCAATCCCCTTCCCTCCCCCATCGCTCCTCACCGTGCTCTCCCCAGACTCTTTTTCTTCCCTTTATCAACACCCAGTGTGCCACGTACCTGGTGTGCAGTGCCCCGGCCACCCTCTGCTCCCGTCCCGCTGGCCAGAGGAGCAAGATGGACCCTTCGGTCGCCCACGGTCCTCTGGAGCCAGGCGAGAGGCGGCTGCTCCGGCGGGAGGACGTCTCTCTGGCTGGCAGAGCCACTGCCGGGCTCTCCTCAAAGGGGAGGGACCAAACTTTGCCTTACTTTTCAGATGAGACAATCTTTCTGGGAGAGATTTTCCTTGGGCCTGGAAAACAAGATTCCGGCATGGAGCCATCTCCAAAAAACACTACACGCCCCAGAGGACCCTGCGGCTGTTTAGATGCCGGGCTGAGGCTTTGCAGGGCAGGGACGGGTTTATACACGGGTTTGTTTGCACATGGCTGTGGATTTCTGGCTTTCCTCATGGTGCTGGATCAAGCACCGGGATCCCCACAAGAAAATCCCCCTGTCCGGGTTGCAGATGCCATGGAGAAGCTGCCACACTTAAGACTGGGCAAGGAGGGGAGACCTCTGGCTCAAAGTCCCTTCATAAAAAAATCCAGATATTTTCTTCTGGCCTTACAAGAAGGGGATAACAACCCCCTAAGGAAGCTGGTCCCACTTTGGAGTCAGTGGATCAAGCACAGGTGCCTACTGCAGGGGTGGGTCTGCACACCCCCCCTTTCATAGCCCCAGCATTTGCCCCCTTGATAACGCTGAATTTAGGGAATTAACTCTAAAACCAGCACCAATAATGAAAGTTTAGTTTTCAGAGTGAAACAACCATATGAGGTTTGAGGCTGCCAAAGGGAGGTGACAGGGGAGGGAAGGAAGGTAAAATCGGGGAGACCTTATAGCTGCCTGAAGGGGCTACAAGAAAGCTGGGGAAGGACTTTTGACAAAGGCAAGTAGTAACAGAACAAGGGGAAATGGCTCTAAACTGGAAGAGGGGAGATTTAGATTAGATATTAGGAAGAAGTTCTTCACTGTGAGGGTGGTCAGACACTGTGTTCAAGACTGGGTTAGATGAGGCTTTGAGCAACCTGGTCTAGTGGAAGGTGTCCCTGCTGATGGCAGGGGGGTTGGAACTGGGTGATATTTAAGGTCCCTCCCAACCCAAACCATTCTGTGATTCTATGATTCTATAAAATTTGGTTTGGTCTAAATTGCTTATGAAGCTGCACCCATGGATTGTCTCCTTGCAGAGCTGGTAAGCTCCTGGGATGAGAGCAGTCCATTTGCTTTGTCTCCCAATTGCATGTGTGATCTGAAGCTAGCAGAGCACAAAGGTGCTTGAAATTTAAGTTACATTTTTAAACTTTGAATTTTGTTGGCATTTCTTGGAAAGGAATAAGAAAATTGTGTGAAAAAGTCCAAGATTTTTTTTTTTTAATCTTTATCCAGCGCTAAGTTCATTGACAGGCTGGATGCATTGAAGTTTAACATTTTCAGGATAGATTTAGAGCTGATGAAAGGTCTTGGAGGACAACTCTGAAGACCTCTGTTTAATCAAGGAACAGGTTCTTCAAGGTTGGTGAGAAGCAATGATGATGATGAGGTGGTTCATGATTTTGTCTATGAGTCCTTTATACAAAAAGGGCTACACTTTGCTCCAGATTTCCATGACTGTAAATTAAACATCACCACCAGTTTGTGATCACTGGTTTGAACAGATCAGTGTGGTTAAAATGACATAGACGTGCCAAAACCAATGATACTTTTGTGGCCCACCAAAGAGCTCCAAGATTTATTATATTTTTTTAATATGTTCAGTTATTCCCAGATGTGCAGGAGTCAAACTCAGTAGAAGTCATGTATGGGTCTTTCCCTTGGATCTGATTTACTCAGTCCAACCACCTAGGTTGGGGGACCTACTGAAGCAGGCTGTGATTCTCTCTGAACTTTGTATCTCATCTTTTTTTTTAGAAGAAAGCAGAGTGGGGATGGTGGTGTGTCCTTCCAGCCTGGATTTGGGAGGTAATTGTGATGTATATAGGAGCTGGGAGCAGAGAAATAGCCCCATCCACATCTGGCTCCCAGGATGTAGCCCCTAGGGTTGCAAATCTTCCTCACATTGGCCTCTGCAAACTCCAATGTTGGTCCTTTCCAACATGATGAATGCGCTGTGGTTTAGCTTGGCTAAGACCACACAGCTGCTCGCTCACTCCCCTCACTCTGGTGGGGTGGGGAAGAGAAGATATAACAAAGGGGCTTGTGGGTTGGGATGAGGACAGGTAGGGTTCACACATCAGTTATGGTCGAGGGCAAAATAGACTCGGCTTGGGGAAGAAAAATCAATTTAATCTGTTACCAAGCAATCAGAGTAAGATAATGAGATGTAAAACCACATCTTAAAACACCTTCCGCCCACCCCTCTCTTCTACCTGGCCTCCAATTACTTTACTCCTGATTTCTCCACCTCCTCTCCCACCCCAGCAGTGCAGGGGGATGGGGAATGGGCGTTGGGGTCAGTTCATCACACATTGTTTCTGCCGCTTCTTCCTCCTCAGGTCAGGGACTCCTCACACTCTCCTCTGCTCCAGCGTGGGTCCCTCCCACAGGCTACATCAGTTCAGGAACAAACAGCTCCAGCGTGGTCTTCCCATGGGGTCATGGACTTCTTTGGCTGCAGCCCTCAGCTCTGGCATGAGGTCCTCCAAGGGCTGGAGGTGGATCTCTGCTCTGGTGGACCTCTTTTCCCCACATTGGCATGAGCATCTCTGGGGTCTTTTGCTCTGTTGTGAGCTCTCCACATAGTTACAAGCGCCTGTGGGTCTTTGTCTGCATAGCTGACTCTCTCACATCCCCCTCCTCTCTCCTCTGCAGATTATCTCTGTTGTTGAAGTTCTTGCTCAACTGGTCTTTCCTCTTCTTAAATATGGATTCAAAGAGGTGTTTCACCATTGATGATTGGCTCAGCCTGGGCTGGAGGCAGGTCTGCCTTGAAGCCAGAGAAGCTTCTTGAAAGCTTCTCACAGAAGCCACCCCTGTGGCCCCTTTGCTGCTGCCAAAACCCCCCACCACACAAACCCAACACAACATGGAAACTGCACCCTCTTTCAGTCTGTGAAGATCAATTCATGAAGTAAATGCGATGCAAAATCTGGAGCAAATAATAGAATCATAGAATGGTCTGAGTTGGAAGGGACCTTAAAGATCATCTAGTTCCAACTAGTCCTAAATCCTGAAACTCTTCTGGTGTATGGACTGGACTAATTACCTCAAGACTAGCTGTCAATACAGGAATATATAAATTTCTCCCCATGGATTTGGCCAGACTGAAGAAAATATTGCAGTGTTTCCATCCTCAGGGGCACTGTAGTGATCCTTGGAAGCTGTTTAAATTCCCTGCCAGCAAAGCAGCAAGAAAATATCCCCAGCATAGGTGTGATCATTGAAATCCACAGCTTTGCAGGGGCTGAAAATCTACTTGCATTTCTTGATGGGGTTCTGTTGTATGGGACTGGAAAGTCCAAAGCACAGCTATGGAGATGAGATTTTTAAGCAATATGGCACAGCTACATTATTTGCACCAAAGAACATCAGAAGGTACTTGCACAGACATTTCTTTCATTGCAATAAAATGCCACTGATAATGGATCTGCAGCATTGGCAAGGGAGGAGCCAGTTTCCATGGTACACAAGTGCCAACAGACCTGTGCCAAATGTTTGACCTGAGCTGGTTGTTCTTAGCAACATCCCTGAGAGCTGCAGCGTGGCTTTGTCTGTGAGTCCTTTGTATAAAGGGCTACACTTTGCTCCAGATTTCCATGACTGTAAATTAAACATCACCATCAGCCTATGTTCACTGATTTGAAGAGAGATGATTTTTTTTTCTTCCTTTCTTTTATTTTTTCTTTTTTTGATAACTCCTATTTTCTCACAGCACATATCTCATTTTTAATCCAGATGCTGCTTGATCAATTAAAATCACTCTCGAGAGGAGCTGATACATCAGTGAACACCCACTAAATGCCATTGCCCTTTTACCAGGCACCTTTCTGAAGTGTGCAGCATGACAGAGCTCCACGAAGCCGTGGCTTTGGGGGACTACGACCTAGTGGAAGAGATTTTGAGGACAGGGCGCTGCGACCCAAATCACAAGGATGTTGACTGGCACGACAGGACCCCGCTGCACTGGGCTGCTGCAAAAGGTAAGGGCACCCTGTGCTGTGTTACCACAGCATTGTGTTGTAAAGGATGATAGCATGGGGGTTGGAACTAGATGATCTTTAAGGTCTCTTCCAACCCAAACCATTCTATGATTCTATGATTCTATGATTCTATGATTCTATGATTCTATGATGCTGATAGTAATTACGTCTTGCCATGATGGCAATTAATGCTGGAAGTTGTCACAACTCATATCTGATCCTTTTGTCCTTACTGAGGAAAAAGAGAAAAATATCAATTTAAATGGGAATCTTGCTTGCAAAATAATTTATGGGTTTATCATCAAAGTGATCTTTTAACTTTTTTTTGATCATATGTAAAAATTTACAATTTACACACTATGTACCTATAGCATGTCTGCTTGTCCCCCACATTACTTTTCTAAGAGGTGACTTCATACAGTGCACAGGAGTTATTTCTTATACACCTGCAAGAATGAGCAGAAAATCAACCCCACTGCATGTATACCAGGCATTTACCAAACCCAGTAGAACAGAATCATTACAATGTGTTTTACATTGTCCTCCCTTTATCCCACCTGGTTGAAGGAACAACACAGGACCAGAGTTGTTTGCAGCTCCTTCACCATCAGAAGTGTCTGTTAAAGTCAAATATCCCTTTGCAGCCTCAAGAGATGTTGAATGCAACAACAACAACAAAACCAAACAACAACCCCCCCAATATAATATATAATTATATTAATATATAATACAATGTATAATTGTACACAGTGTAAAATGGGAAACTGGGGAAACTGGATCTATACTTTGTGGTGAGGGTGCTTGTTACACGTTGGGATCTCAACATCATCACAGCTGTCTTTGCTCAGAAATTGTGTGATTTGCTGATTTACTCTTGACACCATGCTTCACTTTTGCCCTGATTACTCATTGGGCAGCAGAAAAGGGAAATGGGCTATTTAAGAAAAGCTGTTTCATGCATGTGTAGATAGACAGCAACATTATATATATAATAAGTTAATGTGATTAAAAATGTAAATTGTCAAAGCATGAAATTGGGGAATAGAGATTTTTAAATGCTATGCCCAGCTCTGATAAATCCAAAATAAGCACTGAAAACCATGGCCAGCAAGAAAAACAGATTTCTATAGCAATAGGTTATTGTGAAAGGATGGTGAGAGGCTGGCATGGCCTAGATGCTGTGGGGAATGATCTAACTCCATCAAGGCAGCGTGAACGGGAGTAGAAATTACTTTTTTCCTTCTTTAAGCAATTCCTCAAGTTGGAAAAATATGAAGATGAATGAAAACAAGTAATCTCTTTATCTCCTATCAAAGAACCCTTTGTTTTAGTAAAGCTGTTTACAGGTTTTCCAGGTTTTTAATGTTCAGATTTTATTTTGCATTGAACACATGAAACAACATGAAACAACAAAATAGTCAATGACTGATTGAGATGTGCTGCTCAGCATGGCCTAGATGCTGTGGGGAATGATCTAACTCCATCAAGGCAGCGTGAACGGGAGTAGAAATTACTTTTTTCCTTCTTTAAGCAATTCCTCAAGTTGGAAAAATATGAAGATGAATGAAAACAAGTAATCTCTTTATCTCCTATCAAAGAACCCTTTGTTTTAGTAAAGCTGTTTACAGGTTTTCCAGGTTTTTAATGTTCAGATTTTATTTTGCATTGAACTAAAAACCAAAATGAAACAATGAAATAGTCAATAACCAATTAGCCAATGGCTAATTGAGACGTGCTGCTCAGAAATTAGTAGAAAGTTTTTTGATTTCATTGTTATTTTTGCTGGAAAATGCTTCTGGCATTCTAGCAATCTAGTTTAGACTGCTTCTAGCAATCTAGTTTGGAAAAAAAAAGTCAGCATTTTCTAATGAGTATCATTTATTTGATAAATCAAACAGCCAGATCATGGGTAAAATCCATCATTGTATGACTGAGGGAATTATGACCAAATGTGTGATCATCTTCTGCATCCTGAAGGTATAAAGACTAACACAGGTGCATCTTCTCTCCCTCTTTTGCTGCCCAACACAAGGCCAGTCGGAACTGGTCAAGCTCCTGGTGGAACACGGCGCCCGGCATTGCCTGCGGAGCGATGTGGGCTGGACTCCGGCTCACTTTGCTGCTGAGTCGGGGAGGCTGGGGGTGCTTCGCACCCTTCATTCCCTGCACGCTGCCATGGATGCGGCTGACCTCTTTGGCGACACTCCCAAGAGGCTTGCAGAAATCTATGGTCACCAAGACTGCTCCAAGTTCTTAGAAATGTGAGTAGCAATGGCTGGTCCCACTGCAGCAGGTGGTGGGGCTCCAGCAATGAAAATTAAATTGACTGTTGTATAGAGGACCAGAACAAATACGAGTGTGTTACTCATCTTTCCACCTAAAGCCTATCAAAGCCACCAAGCACGAGTAGTGCTTGATAAGCAAATAGGGGTCTTTGTCACGAGGAAGCCATTGAGAAGACGTTCATTTTTTCCACTGCCTTCTATCGTTTGCCTTCATATGTTTTCAAAATTGTTACCACTTCATGACATCATTGTTTTTATAGGGATATTACAGAGCAATTATTAGGCAATGGTAATGAAAGTAAGAACTAATGAGTATTAACTCCTGAGGGTGGTGAATACTGAATAATAGAATCACAGAATGATCTGGGTTGGAAGGGACCTTAAAGATCATCTAGAGAGGAATCAGCTCTTATTTCCCTTAGACCTTCAGTTTAAAGAATTTTAAACATCCAGCAGCTGATACCTAAGCTTTGTTAATTAGGTTTTTTACTACCTAGACCCTAGCTGGGATCAGCTCAGGTTTGCCTGTTCTTTGAGAATGAGACCCTTGCTTCCAGAGGAGGGTTTTGCTCTTTGTACTGTTCTCAAATCTTGGCTTGCTTAGTTTCTATACCAGAATAAGTAAATATTGTCTGTCCCAGAGAGTGAAAGGTCTGCAGGCTTGTTGCTCTTGATTAATCATTTATAGCAATTGCTTACCTATTTATTCAATGCTGTCATTTTTTGCACTAATCTCACTGTTAAGTCCTGCCAAGTCTGTAGCACTTGGCTGTGCACCAGAGCTGTGGTACTGAGGTGACAGCAAGGGTGGGGGAATTACCTGGATGATGCCGATGGGTGATGTCCGTGACAGGCAGAGGCTGGGAGAAAGATTGACAGAATGATTGACAGAATGATTGACACCTCGGTCCAAGCCACCTAGACAACAGCCTAGGGCAACTCATGGAGCTGATGGAGGGTTTTCTGAAGTGAATGACTAATTTAAAGTGGATAACTTGTGTTTCAGAGCCATGTGCTAGCCTGACTTGCCTCACAACCGCATGGCTCAGCTAGGACCATGGCTGGGAAATCTTAATAACTAGGAAGATGCTTTGAATGCCCATGGACACACGAAGCCTGTATGATCACCTCACAGTCCTAACTCAGCCTGTGGGCAACAAAGAGCTTGTCACTGGAGCTCAGGAACCAATTTTTTAAGCCCAAACACTATAATTTACAACCACAGTGGATGCCTTCACCCTCATGCAACACTGTCACCTCCTCATGTCAGCAAACTTGGAGTTAACTAGGAGGAATTACTGGAATTTGTAGTATAATCGTGATTACCTTCTGCTGTTTCAATTGTGCAGAAGGTCCCAGGGTGATGTCCATGGTCAGACAGTGCTGCACAGCTCTGGTCGAGCTGGGCAGTACCAATGTATACTACAGACAGAAAATTAAATGTAGGTATAGAATCATAGAATGGTCTGGGTTGGAAGGGACCTTAAAGATCATCCAGTTCCAACCCCCCTGCCATCAGCAGGGACACATTCCACTAGACCAGGTTGCTCAAAGCCTCATCCAACCTGGCCTTGAACACTTCCAGGGAGGGAACATCCACAGCTTCTCTGGGCAACCTGTTCCAGTGTCTCACCCACCCTCACACTAAAGAATTTCTTCCTCATATCTCATCTAAACCTACCCTTTCCAGTTTAAAGCCATCATCCCTTGTTCTATCACTCCCTGCCCTTGTCCAAAGTCCCTCCTCAGCCTTCCTGGAGCCCCTTCAGGTACTGGAAGGCTACTAGAGGGTCTCCCTGGAACCTTCTCTTCTCCAGGCTGAACAGTCCCAACTCTCTGTCCTCACAGCAGAGGTGCTCCAGCCCTTTGATCATCCTCGTGGCCTCCTCTAGACTGGCTCCAGTAGATCCATGTCCTTCTTCTGTCAGGGGTCCCAGTATGCACACCAATGCTGTGCAGCAGAGTAGCTTTACCCTCTGCTCACGGTGTCTGTGGTATTGGTATGTAAATATGAGGGATATTTAGTTACAGGACATCAGCATCAGTTTTGGATATTTGCCTGTCATGCAAAAAGGGAGAAAAGGCAATTTTAAAAATAACAGTCTGAGGGTCTGTCAGGGCTGACGTGTATCTAAACAGGGCTATGAACATGCAAATCCTTCCTGAATCCCAGTTCAGCTCCTTCTAGCACCTCCATGACCCTTGCACGCTGTGTCTGACCCCAGGTGCTGCTGGCTGTGTGACCATGCTGAGTGACTGCTCTGTGCTGGGGACTGTTTGCATCAACACGGAAATATTAAATGTATCAACATGTAAATCTTATTTACATGTAAATATTGGGAATATTCTGCTACAGAGTACCCATACCACTCACCGAGGTTTGCATGGACATGCAAAGAACAGGAAACAGCCTTCAAGACACAGCTGCTTCAGCTGCTTCTGAGTCACAAATGCATAATTTGCATCAGATATATATAT